ATAATACAGGCTCGCTGACATTGGGGGTCCTTAGACTTTTCTCTTTGGATTTCCCCTTGTCAGTTGTGTGGTAGTGTGATCTCCACAACCAGCCAGGGTTGCCCTTACAGCAGAAAAGTCTCTCCCCTAGAGGACCGGCGGTCTTACTGCGTGTTGCATTCGCCATAGGTGCGTTCGGAATTGGAGACAGCGACTCAGAGATCGCAACCTCTTCCACGCACACGGTATACGACAGCCCCTCTTCTTACGTCGAGCTCCCAACCCCGGAAATCCCGTCCCATATTTCCCCTTCTGACATGGATCCTGATGATCGCCTTCGGAATATGGAGGAGGAATTGACGCGGAACTGGATGAAGACCGACGCGATTGAAACAGCCTTACAAACGATTTTGGCTAAGTTAGATATTCCACAAGGTGGTGGAAATGCAATGCTGGATGCGCCGGATTTCGGAAAAGCGGAACTGGTGGAAGAGAGGATGTCCGTGAAGTTGGCAAAGGTCAAACCCGCAACTCCGGCGGAATTTGACGGAGATCGGGAGAAGGGACCCGCATTCTTCAACACATGCAGCATCTACTTCGCAATTGTCGGAGACCTCTTTCCAAACGACCAGGCTCGGATTCACTGGGCATTGTCCTTTTTCAAGTCGGACCACGCAGCCCATTTTGCAAACAAGGTGATCCGACATGAAGCAAAGGGCAAGGGCAACTACTTCCAGGACTGGGATGCCTTTGAGAAGACCTGTTTTGACCAGTTCTGCCCCAAAAATGAGCAACTCAAAGCCCTTATGAAGCTTGAGGTGACCAGCTGGTACCAGGCCAAGGATCTGGTCAATGACTACATCGATTGCTTCCAGGAGCTCATCACCCTTGCGGAGTATGACGATGACAAGATGATCGTCATCAAATTCCGATCAGGACTTGATCCAACACTCCAGAACCAAGTCGCACTGCTTGGGGATGGAGCTCTGGATTTTGATGACCCAGAAGGGTGGTACCAAGCTGCACAAAGGGTGTCCCGAAACAGGGAAGTAAATGAGGCCTTTGTGGAGACAAACCAGAACATGACACACAGTTCCGCTCATCCTGCTCCATCTGTGCTGAAACCCAGGATGGCATTCTTTCCAACGTGGAAAGTATTTCCGACAGTTGCTCTGCCTGCCCCTACTAGGAACCCTAGCCCCCTCCTTCGAAGAGTGGCCCTGCCCCAATGGATGTTGACCACATGCACAGAAAAGGCAACATAACTGCCACCTGCTTCCGATGCTGACAGCCAGGTCACTATGCCCACGAGTACCCCCAAGCTTTCGACATCCAGCTTATGACCACAGAGGAGAAATTTGAGCTCCTTCCAGAGTTCCTCGCACTGGCAGACATAAGCAGAGTTCCCACTGTGGAAGAAAGTTCTGAAAATGCGGAACATGGTGCGTCAGAAGTGGGAGAGAATGAGAAGCCCCCACTCCCCTCACTTCATGCAGACCCACTGGATAAAGTCACACAAAGGCCGAACCCAACAGTATGTCCATCCCGCATCTGCCCTTGGGAGAGACACCTCCTGAAGTGCTATGTTGTTGTTACCACCCCTGGCCCCAAGTCACTGGTCATTAAGGTGGAGATCCAGACAACGGACACAGTGGACGTCAAATCCGGACCCGCACTTGTCGATTGCAGGGCCACTGGTCAGATGGCGGTGGGGGGAGCTGGAACAGGCCTCCTTTGAAAAACTCAAGGAGCTGATCACTTCTGCCCCGGTCCTGATCTTTCCCGATGACTCTCACCCTTATCAAGTCAAGGTGGATTCTTCTGATGCAGCCACCTGAGTGGTCTTGTCACAGCAGTCATCGGAAGATGGTGGCAGGTGGCATCCGATTGCCTTCTTCTCCAAGAGCCTTGGTCCGGTGGAGCAGAATTATGAGATCCACGACAAGGAAATGCTGGCGATCATCCGAGTGCTGGAGGAGTGGTGACACTTCCTCAAAGGTGCTCTGTGTCCATTCAAGATCTGGACAGACCACAAGAACCTAGAGTACTTCCGCACATCCAAGAAATTAAACCGATGACAAGTCCCTATACCTGTCTCGGTTCAACTTCATGCTCCATCACCGCCCCGGCCACACCATGGGCAAGCCCGATGCCCTATCCCGCCATGCAGATCATGGAAGCAGAAGCGGAGACAATTCTGACATGACATTGCTCCACCCAAGCCTCTTTGCAATCCATGCCCTCGATGGAGTGACCACAGTTGGGGTGGAAGTGGAAATGCTCCGGGACATCCCGAGGCAGTACCAGAATGGAGAGAAGGAGGAATCAGTGGTGAAGGTGGTGGAGGAGCTACGGAAAGGGCATTTGCAGTCAGTATGGGCAGTGGAGTGGTCAGAACATGATGGGTTGCTCCACTTCAGGGGCAAAGTCTATGTTCCGGATGGGGTGGACCTCCGCTGCCACATCGTGTCCCAACACCATGACACCTGGGTCACAGGGCATGCTGGCAGGTGGAAGACACTGGAGTTAGTGGCTTGGAATTACTGGTGGCCTCAGATGTCCCACTACATTGGATAGTATGTGAAGATGTGTGACCTTTGTCTCTGGACCAAAGCACAGCGGCATCCACCCATTGGAGAGCTCGTTCCACCCCCGATTCCGGAATCCCGCTGGGATACCATCAGTGTAGACTTCATCATTGAACTCCCAGAGTCTCACGGCTACGACGCAATCATGAATGTCATGGACTTGGTAAACAAGGTGTCCCACTTCATTCCAACACACACAACGATCACAGCCCTTGGAGCGGCCCACCTGTTCCTTGCACATGTCTGGAAGCTGCATGGGCTCCCAAAGCAAGTTGTTTCCGACCGAGGTCCACAGTTGTGGAACTGACATGGGAGCTCTACCACCTACTCGGAATAAAGCTGGCTGCCACCACAGCATACCATCCACAGGGTGACAGACAGATGGATCGGGTCAATCAGGAGCTGGAGCAATATCTCTGCCTCTTTGTCAATGAGAGGCAGGATGAACCTCACCTCCAGATGACACCCACAGAGGGGCTTCAAGCCATGCCAGGCAGAGTCCCGACTCGAGACAGTCAATGAGTTCTGAGACTGCATGGACTCCACTCTTTCAGAAGCCAAGTCTGCCCTTGTGAAGGCCAAGGACGACATGGCAAGGTACTACAACCAACACCGGGTTCCTGCCCTGGAGTACCAAGTTGGAGACAAGGTGTATTTTGACGCAAGTGACATCTGCACCACATTCCCTTCACAGAAGCTTGCCCACCGCTACCTAGGGCCCTTCACAGTGATGCAGAGGGTTGGACAGAATGCATACCGCCTCCGACTTCCAATGTCCATGTCCTGCCTCCACCCCATCTTCAACGTAGTGAAGTTGCTCCCTGCGCTTGAGGACCCAATTCCAGGGCCGAAGGCTTGTCTGCCACCTCCACCGGAAATTGTAGATGGGGAAGAACATTATGTGATGGAACGGATCCTGGACAGCTGGTTCATGCAAGGACGACTCCAATTCCTCGTGAAATGGGAAGGATATGAGTACGAGGAGAATTCATGGGTCCTGGAGCAAGATGTCTCTGCTCCAGACAAACTCCAAGACTTCTACAGGACACACCCTGGTGCCCCTTGTCGAATCTGTTCACTGGCCTTTCAACCCCTCATGTCCCATGCTTCAAGGACGCAGCATGCTAGAGGGGGGGTGATGTCAGGGGACACCCTGTTTTCCAGTTCTGACACCACACCAAATTCCGACTCCATTTCCAACTCCGGTCCCCCAGCTCAGAATGGCATTGCTGAGCATTTGAACCATACCTTGTTGGGAGTATGCACACATTCTCCATACTTTACTGACTCATTACCCCTATTTGACACATACTTGCTAACTTTTGCTATGGAGGATGTTTATAAATGTCATATATATGTATATATAGCTTAGCTAATCTATATTTCATAAAATATATCACAATTGAGACAGTTGCCAGCACCTGTAAGGCATGCTTAATCCTAGCACTAAAGTTCTTTCTCACAGTCTGCTGCTCCCCCAGGAAAGGGTGTATATTGTCTAAACATCAATAGTTATATATCTTTATACTATACATACATATTATTTTAAACATATCTTCTAATCAGATCTATCAACCATATATAATAATATAGTACAGTTATTGTCCATACTTGCTTCTACATTCTGTCATCATACATCTGACACACTTCATATATACTTCTAACATGTACTCATATGGTCCATACTTGCCTCTACATTTTATCATCATACATGTAACAAGCTTCATATATACTTTTAATATATACTCATCCAAATCCTATCTGAAATTGCTCTGTTATCTGAATACACACCATGCTTTAGCACATACAACCATATTTTTAAAATATCAGAACATTCAAAAAAATTTAGGATGTCTACAATATACAAGTTGCTCAAAATGATGGACTATGAATTCAGTTAGGGTTGATATTTTAAAATATATCTAATATATCCTAGAAGAATGTACATTGTTGTCAATGTGAACATCCTCCTATTGTCATTTCTCCATTGTTTCCCCTTTTGTACTTCATGCTCTCATGCTTACTCAGACTGCTCAGTCAGCCCCTACCTACTCCTGTCAGGGGACACCCTGTTTTCCAGTTCCAACACCACACCAAGTTCCGACTCTGCTTTCAGAAATGATTCCGCTTCTGGGAGAACTTGCACCAGTTCTGTTCACTTTGCCAATTCCACTCCACTTTCCGACTTCCACTCTCGGAACAGTGTCGGAAGTCAAGCGACTCATGTAGTATGCAGCATCAAGGGTCGATCAAGGGTCAGGGAGGTCAGGGAGATGCAGGGTTGATGGCGAGTGCCAAGTGTTGTCCCTGGCTTTGGAATGTAGTATAATACGGCTCGCTGACATTGGGGGTCCTTAGACTTTTCTCTTTGGATTTCCCCTTGTCAGGTGAGAATCCCCTCTCTTGTATACTCTGTTCATTTATACATACTTTGGATGCAGAACTCAATTGGTAGAGTGTCTCTCTTTTAAAGAGAACATTTCTGGTTCAAGTCCAGATCCCCTTGTCAGTTGTGTGGTAGTGTGATCTCCACAACCAGTTAGGGTTGCCCTTACAACTCCTGCATTGTCTTGCATCATTATGACATCATTGTAGCTTGGGGTTGTGTATATAAAGGCTCAGTCACTGAAGGCAGATAAAAATTTTCTGGTCTGAAAAACTGTTCAAAAAACTGTAAAGATATCCCAAATTTTTTTAGTGTTTTTAATGTTAAAAAACTATAACAAAATTTTGTGTTTTGTTAGAATTTGTTGAGCAAGAAAATTTTAAAAAAGTTTAAAGTTCCCTGCAGGGTTTTTTATGTCTTTTTATAAGTTTCTTTGTCAAAATTCTAATAAAAACACAAAATTTTATTATAGTTTTCTTCACATAAAAAACACTAAAAATATTTGGAAAATCTTTACAGTTTTTTCAACAGTTTTTCAGACAAGGAAACTTTTATATGCCTGCAGTGAGTCTGTCTATACAACAATCAAGTCAAGTCAAATTTTAGTCTATCGCTCAAGTCAGTCTCTCAAGTCTAAGTCAATTCCCACCTCTTAGGGCACCAAGTCAAGGCTTTGTCACAGTACACTGCCACTGTCACACAGAACTGTCACATGTTACGACCCACATGTCTCATATCAAGAATTCAGATTACACTAAGTCCAGTTATCCAGTCACTGGTTGTTCAGTCTCATTGCCTCGAACGACTGCATTATAGACCATCCACAGCAGAAGGACCATTGCACACAGGCTAGTGGAGTGATTCCTACTAGTGAATCTTTACTGGACGCACCTTACACTCAGGTGATTAGGCCCCTGATGTATGCCATCTTAGGCTCATGCCCTGACATCATGTCATCATGTTTGCCATACAGTAGCTGAGTCAACACACCTACAACTTCAGTGAAGCTCACTAGACAGCAGTCAAACACATCATACACTACCTGAAGGGCACACACAATGTGGGCATTATATTACGCCACTCAGCTTCCACTCCCCTTATCAAGATTTACTCTGATGCCAACTTCACATGTCTAGCTGATTCTCACTCAGTAGGGGGTTTCATTTGCCTCTATGACAGTTGTATTATCACATGGACTGACCACAAGAACCTGGAGTATTTTTGCACTGCAAAGAAGCTTAATCGCAGACAGGCTAGATGGTCCCTCTACTTGTCGCATTTTGATTTCGAGCCCAACCATCAGCCTGGTGTCACAATGGGCAAGTCAGACACACTGTCATGGCGCTCAGACCATGGGTCAGGATCGGGTGACAACAGTGATTTGACGCATATGTCTATCTTGTGCAAAACTCGCTGTGACTATCATCTTGAGCCCTCTTCTATAGACTACTATCTTAGACCAGAGGAGGACTTAAGGACCACTGGTGAGTTTTCATACTTCACCTTCACTACCTTAGCCTTCATACTATTATCGGTGCCGTTGGCAAAGGGCTCCGAAGGAGTACCTTCGCCAGCAAAAGGATTGTCACTACTAGACAACCTTTCCGTGAGTGTTTTGGAACCCATTGAACTAAACATAAAACTGTGGTGTTAAACACAATTCTAAAGTTCAATCAGAGATTCAACTTTACAAGCACATGCAAACTTCGAAACTATTTTAACGGAGAACCCAATTAAGAAATTATACTCCAGTGAACAATCAGAATCAGTATTGGTACAGGAAGTGTAGCAATATAGATTTAACTGAACACGTGTAGTTCTCAGATTGTGCAATACTTTGTGAGGTCAAAGAATGTTATTAGGTGTCCAAGGGTCCAGATACTTTAAGGGGAAAACTACTTAGAGTCTTAGGACCGTGGGTCGAGTGAATTAAAGACAAAAATAATCCCCAAGACGTGAAAAGATAGTTCTATGCTTGAACTCTTCCTCAGTTCAAGTATATCACTATTCTTGTGGCTTTTCTGGTTTTCCAACTCAACAAACATAACTCACTTACCCTGAGTTAGGTTAATATCTGCAGTGCGTTGATTGATCAAGAAAGATCAATTACTCAAAAGGCTATTAACCCCTTAACTCAGAGTTAAGTTAATAATCTATTGCATGAATTGAATAACTAATAACCAAGACTATTAGATCACTGCTCAGAGTGGCATCTAATCGTACAGGATTAATAATCAGTTACTCTTAGTAATGTTGCTGTTCGCAATGCTATTATTCAGAGCCTGTCACAATTAAAATAGAGCACTCTTGTACTACTCAGAGCCAATCAGAGTTGCTGCAATCTTGGACTGTAGCCAAGTCAGTGAGCCAGTACTTCATTACAAGGCTGTGTTGAAGTCATGCTTCAGTTACTCAAGGTATGAGTGGTTTGGGTGAAAGATGATTGATTGCTTCATTGCTAAAACTGCAGGCTATTTATACTGCATCTATATAGCTTATGTAACTACTGCTAGGAACCTTGTAGAGGTTTCTACTACTGTGAAGAACCTTGTGGAAGCTTAGAGAAGCTTCAGGAAAGGTTTGGAAACTATTGGAACACTGTGGAAGGTTCTAATGCTATATTGGGTTAAAGTCACAGCTCTGTGACAGTAAAGCCAGGAGTATGTAAGCAGCTCCCATGCTCATGTGATTATCATGTGATGAAGGAAAGTCATGTGATGGTCAGGTGATTGTCAGGTGACTGCAGATAATCAGGTGACTTTGAGGTCAGGTGATTGTCAGGTGACTATGGATGATCAGGTGACTTTGAGCTGTTTTGAGGTCATGTGATAGTCATGTGATCATGAGGGATTCTTAGCTAAACTATCAAGAGATTGACCCAATGTGAGTGTAGCATAGAAATATTAATACAACCTTTCTTAAGGACATTTGAAACTAATTACACCCGTTTGCAGTACCTAAGGCGCGCGTCGGATTTGCCTTCCGTTTTAGCGCGCAAACTTCGAACAACGATATCTTGCTTGATATCACTCCGATTCGCTTGAAATTTCATATCTGAAGCTATGTGGACCATAGCTAGGGCATAGAACTAAAAAATCCGAATAAAACAAGCATTTTTTATTTTGCATTTTGGGTGCTGAGGGGGGAACAATGTCAAGCTTAGCTTACTGTATGTAGTTCAATGCAGGTTTTAATTTTGTTTGCTACTTTGTACTAATGGTGAGAACCCACTACAGGAGAATCTCCAGAAGAGGGTGTCATAGGATTGGAGAGGAAGGGCTTAGCTTCTTCTGACATTGGATCAGTGAGATCTGACGGTAGGCGTTCATTCTTGATGTCGGATTTCCTCCTGTGTAGCATAAGCCCCGAAATCTTTGATCCCTTCCGCACCGAGTGCCAATGCACCCACCATAAGGCAACTTCGCCGATCCTGACACGTTCTTGAGCTCGGAAACCGCGGGGGCGCATGCATATGCGGTGGGGTGAGGGGCGCGGAGGTGCTGGGGTGGGCGAGCTGGTATAGGAGGACGGGGTGGTGGGGGAGCGGGCGGCGGCGGGTGCGGGTGCGGGTGCGGTGCGGGTGCAGGTGCGGGTGCGGGTGTGGGTGCGGGTGTGGGTGCGGGTGTGGGTGCGGGTGTGAGTGCGGGTGTGGGTGCGGGTGTGGGTGCAGGTGCAGGTGCGGGTGCGGGTGCAGGTACGGGTGCGGGTGCAAGTACGGGTGCAGATGCGGGTGCAGGTGCGGGTGCAGGTGCGGGTGCAGGGACGGGTTGGGCGGCAACACGAAGGACGCGGGGGCGGAGGTGGGCGAGCTGGTGTAGGAGGACGGGGTGGTGGGGAAGCGGGTGGCGGCGGGTGCGGGTGCGGGCGCAGGTACGGGTGCAGGTACGGGTGCGGGTGCAAGTACGGGTGCAGATGCGGGTGCAGGTGCGGGTGCAGGTGCGGGTGCAGGGACGGGTTGGGCGGCAACATGAAGGACGCGGGGGCGGAGGTGGGCGAGCTGGTGTAGGAGGACGGGGTGGTGAGGAAGCGGGTGGCGGCGGGTGTGGGTGCAGGGATGGGTTGGGTGGCAACGTGAAGGACGCGGGGGCGGAGGTGGGCGAGCTGGTGTAGGAGGACAGGGTGGTGGGGAAGCGGGCGGCGGTGGGTGCGGGTGCGGGCGCAGGTACGGGCGCAGGTGCGGGTGCGGGTGCAGGTATGGGTGCAGATGCAGGTGCAGGTGCGGGTGCGGGTGCAGGGACGGGTTGGGTGGCGACGCGAAGGACGCGGGGGCGGAGGTGGGCGAGCTGGTGTAGGAGGATGGGGTGGTGGGGAAGCAGGCGGCGGCGGGTGCGGGTGCGGGTGCAGGTACGGGGACGGGTTGGGCGACGACGTGAAGGATGCAGGGGGCGCACGCGTACGCGGCGGGGTGAGGGGTGCGGAGGTGGGCGAGCTGGTGCAGGAGGACGGGGTGGTGGGGGAACGGGCGGTGGCGGGTGCGGGTGCAGGTACGCGTGCCCTGGGACACGAATGTGCCTGGGCCGTGGCGCTCTGTGGGAGTCGAGTGGTCAGACACCCTGGTATGAGGAATACGGGCCAGGATACTCACGGAAGTTGGCCACTGGGGTTATGGGGGAGTTGACAGGGAGCTGCTGGTACTTGACGGTGAGCCTGTGGAGCTAAGCGAAAAGGCGCGATTGAAGAACAGGGTCAGCGGATGCTTCGAAGCCCGGGGCAAGTTCATATGGAAGACGAGTGCCGAACCAAGAGAGGCTGAAGTGTCTGTGGTGCGTGGTGTTGTCAATGGTGCAGCGCGGCAAACTGCCTATTATGAATCGGCATAACCCGACCAAGTTCGACTTGCCTTACCAACAATGGGAAATAACAAAAATAAAAGACAGCCCCCCACCAAGTCAACACGAGCAACGAAAAGGTCAAAGAACCTCCAGAGGAACTGTTACCTGACATAGCGGGAATTCAGGGCAAAGGTCGGTTTATATATAATGATGCTATTTCAAGCTCACCAGTTATTTAGAATCTGTTCAAACTACTAGCACTTTTCAACCGCAACGTCAGGCGGCAAAAAAAGTAACTTTTGAAGACTTAGAATCTGAGTCAGGGTCTTCATATGAGGAAGAGACCCA